AACACCCCGAGGAAACTCGGGCGCTGGGTCCGTGCTGCCCAGCGTGAGCCTCGCGCCCGTCACCTCAACGGAAAACTGCAGGAGTTGAGATCCCAAATGTCACCCGGGATCTGTCCCGGTTCCTGCTGCATGCCGGCGGGCGAGCAGGAGGAAAAAAATCCCCTTTATCCCGCCATAAAACAAACCCTGCCCCGTCCTCTTCTCGGCCCACATTAGATTTGGCCTGGGTCCGTGCTGCCCAGCGTGAGCCTCGCGCCCGTCACCTCAACGGAAAACTGCAGGAGTTGAGATCCCAAATGTCACCCGGGATCTGTCCCGGTTCCTGCTGCATGCCGGCGGGCGAGCAGGAGGAAAAAAATCCCCTTTATCCCGCCATAAAACAAACCCTGCCCCGTCCTCTTCTCGGCCCACATTAGATTTGGCCCTTTCGGCTAGTGAGAAGAAAGTCGCAGGGCAAAAACCATCTCTTTATCTTCCTCTTATCCAGCCCCCTTGCAAAGGGGTGATACTTTTCTTTGCAGAATGCACTAAAACTGCTTAATTTGGGAAATCTGCAGCATATTGCCCACTAAAGGCAGTCTTAAGAGGAGCTTAATTCCTTCCCTTCCTCGTCAGGATTGAGCAGCAGACCTGTAATTAAGTTACAGAGGGTGTGTGATTGATGCTTTGAACTGGGCAAAAGAATCTGTTTCTTCAGGGTTATATATTTTTCTCTGATGTGTGGGATGGAGCATTTAGGGTTGCAAATCCTGCAAGCTGTGTAATTTACGCTTACGTATAGAAAGCCTCGAGCTGCACCGGGACATCGGTAGCAGGTTTTATAGCCCAATAGTTTGACTGGTGGTCATTGCATCTTGTGCGATGAATTGCAGAGAGGAAATTTGTCCCGATATTGTCCCGAGGCAGGGGTTAGCACACGCAGCCTTTTCACTTTGTGGTAGCTGAGCGGGGAAGGACTGTGTAATCCCTTATTTTGGCAATGCTTGCAAAATAGTCCTGTGCTTTGGCAGAGCTGGCTTCGCTGAACCAGATCTGTAATATCTGGGCAAGGAGGAAAAAACGATTAAAGAGGCAACTTGGCAAATCCAACTAACGGAGTTCGGCTCCGTCTTAGAAGGAGGGGCGAATATCACTTTTTTGCTGCGCTTCTATTTTGGTTTAACCTCTAGAGATGCTGTCAGCTCTCCAAAGGGACGAGTAATGAGACCTCTTAACATAGCAGGAAGCCTAAATGCATTTTTCTGCCTGCTGTTGGTAAAAGAAACAAGCTAATGTCCCAGTGACAGGAATACATTTGGAGGGGGAGAGGAAGGAAGGCGGAAGGAAGGCAAACCTGAAATCTTAAATGGCTTTTGATTGCCATGAAGTACTCAAGTAGACAATTGCTGGGATTACTACACTGACAAAGCATCCTGGTGCGCTGAATTGCTGGCACAGCGAGTAAAATGGGAAGCTGCTAGCAAGGCATTCCCGGGGTGGCGGGTGTGTAGGGCCTTGATAGCACATTAGCTAGAGCAGGGAAAGGAATTAGGGATTCAGAGGGCGAATCCCTCCAAATTGCTGTGGTTAAAAGGGCTTTTACAGGCGCAGCTGAAAGGGACCCGAGGCGGAAAACGTTAGCTGAGCCTTGCTGCTGCGAATCCTGATATGGTCTAGCAAGAAGGGAAGCAATACACTTCCGGAAAATCAATCAGGAGCAAAATGACTCTTGCAAGGGAAAAGGGGCCTGCTGAATTTTCAGGAGACGTGACGCTCTGAAACAGTTGTGCTTTTGTTTCTCCTGAGAAAGCGGGTAAGTTTGGGATCTACAGGCTCTGGGAGGGCAGAGTTGTAGCCTTGGCGGTTGCTGTGCCTGCTGGTCAGAGGGAAGCAGCAGCAGGAGGGGCAGTGTCACCGCAAGGGACATCAAGCCACAGGAGAGAAGGAGCCTTACAGGAAGGAGTCAAGGTAATGGGTAGACTGCAGGGAAAGTGCCACAATGCCTACAAGTGGTTTTGATGTTGAGGGGAGTTGTTCTGAAAGAGCTACTGAAGGAGGAGAGGAACAAGCAGCCTCCCAGAAGATTTAAGTCTGCTGTGTCTTAGGAACAGAAATATCAGGCAGTTAGCCTGTATTTTTTGCATAGCAACTGGATTTCCTGGGAAACTTGGAAAGAAGCTGGTGTGAATGCAACTAAGGGATAGACACGGGGTGCAGGCAGAGTCAGAGGCTGGCCCTTGAGACCGTGTCTGCCCTGTCCATCACAGCGTGTCCCTGCAGAACGTGCCTGCAGGAGTCGCTTTGGGACAGTCTCCTGCACCTGGAAGAGGTGGATGCGCCCGGGCCACGAGGGAGATGCCGTTTCGGAGCATTCCGCAGTGATTCCAGGGCTTGTGCTAAACCCGCCCCCTCTTTAGCGCAGGGCAGGGGGCTGCCTTTCGGGAGCCTCCGTCTTGCCCGTGCGGTCACACCGCTCACGGTGGCTTATAGGAAGCAAACTGCAGCGCAATATAAATACCTGAGTGCTTGGAAAAGCTCAAGCGAGAGGCAGCCAGAAGGATCTCGGCTCTAGAGGAGTTTGCGTTATCTGTCTAAGCCCACAGTAGCTGCTGCAGGAGCATAATTCAAAACACGTTCTTGGGGAGGCTTTTGTCTAAATTCAGCTCCTAGGTCTAGGCTGTCGGGTGGTATTCTTCATGTTTGGTCCTCCAGTTTGCCAGCGAGGTAGTAAGCTGGGCCGCAGAGTGTGCGTTCTTATCTCCTGGGGAGAAGGCCCTGTGAAGTGACTTTGAACATCCTAGCAGCTTTATAAGCATTTTACTCCAATTACCAATAGCAGTGTAAAAGCCAAAACAGCAATAGTAAAAATTCTTTTTGTCCTGGTCATGTATCATCTTGCAGGCATATGACATGCTTCAGCTTTCTGAGCAATATAACAGTTACCTAAAATTTCCAAGAATGTTTTTGTATAAAACAAATCCAGGGGGAGCAGCTGGTGCTGATTCTAGAGGGGCTAAGGAGAAACTAAGTCACCTAAATATGCTTAACCTGTGGGGTGCTTGAGCCTTGATCCTGGTCTGACCTACGGAATACCTGCCTGCGTATGGATGTTGTCTTGCATATCCAGCTTCCCTACGGACACAGGGATGGAAGATTGGTATATTTTTTTGACTTGGAAAATTTCAATTCAGAAGGCTTTAAGGAGCAGCAGAAGCAGCTTGGCCTTTCTGTGAAAGCTGGTAGCAAGTTGTCTATGGAAGCTGAAGATAAGAAAACACTCCTGATTTGTGCTCTTCCTACTCCAGGCTATGCTTTTTTTTTTATTTCTTCCATATGAAATGACGTATGACAACATTTGGTAACTGTACCAGCAACTTTTTGCTCTTTGTCCGTATGTTTTTCCCCACACGAATGGGAATGTGACTTGTGTCTCAAATACTGAGATAGTTGCACAAAAATTTTTACAGCCGAACAGCATGCTAGGGACCTGCTAGGGCACGCGTAGGAAATCGTGCAAGATGTAACTGCAAGAGCAGTTAACGGATAATGAGGCTGCCCTGTTAGCCAACAACCCTGGAGCAATTCTAGCCTCCTCCGTTGAGTGCCTTTCCGCTAAGGACGTCTTACCTCACTTTATAGATTGATTTGTGTTTAGATTGTGCCTTTATTTTCTTGCCTTGTGCTGAGAGAAAGCAGGTCACCCAACGTCGTGCACGTTTCAGCGCTGCTCCTAACGCAGGTAACAGAGCCCTGCAGTCCTGGTTCGTGCCCAGATGAGTAGATTCAGGTTTCGCTGAGGAGGTGAGCTTGGATCTGTCAGAGCCATCCTGGCGCTTGGGTTTTTAAATGCCTGTTTCAGTACACGTATCGGTTTTACTCAGAACCTGATATTTCTCTCTAGATGGAGTTGAGCAAAGAGACTCTCTGGCTAAGGCCACCAGGGCTACTGCAATAGTGATGATCTCTTTAATAGAAGATGCAGGATTCAGATGACAGAAATGCTGTGACCACATTTCTGTTGAACAAACAAATGTAACAGGGGAGTTGGGGGAGAAAGAAGGGAAGAAGAGTAAGAGGTTTCTCTGAAAATATTCAAATTTGTTTTTTTATCATCAAACATATGACCACATTCTGCAATTCTTACTTACTAGGTGAGTCTGGACTGGAAGGCAGTATCAGCATATGGCAGCGAGTGTTGTTTGGGCCACAAAAGTAAATGGGTATTGAGGAAAAAGCTCTATGTCTAAGGAGTTGGGCAGGTTGGGTTGCTACCCAGAACTGGAGATGAGGCACAATGAACTGAACCAAAGATGGGAGGACTGGCAAGAAGTGTAGCTGTTAACACATGGCTCTGCAGAACCGCTTGTGACGGAGCCAGGTTTGATTCCTCGCAGCATCAGACACAAATGTTGAAAGTAGCTTTGATCAGAATTCATCCCTGCCAGGCCTAAGTTCTGATGATAGCTGGTGTCGGAGAAATGTATTTATAGTTCATCCTACCTTGGGTTTGTTGCAAGGTGCAGTAAATATACTTCCTGAACAAACTGTTTTTATGTATTCTTCCCTTAAAAAGGGGGTGCAGGAAGCAGCAGGCCGTGGTTTAGCCGTGCGGAGCAGCACATGGAGCCTGCCCTTATTTTAGCCTCTGCTGAGCAGCGCTTGGGTTGACGAAAGCTCTCATGGCATTATTCGGTGTTGGAGCATGTTTCATCTGTCTGAGTCGAAACATATGCTCGAAGCCCCAGTAACTAATTGCACGGCAAGTCTCCTCATCCTAGGAATTGCGTTATCGCAGGAAGTGAGCAAAGGCTTAGTCAGGCTGGCCTGGGGGACGGCCAGCGGGACACCGGGAGGCCGCGCTGACACCGCGGCACCGGCGCGACTTGCGCGCTGCCCCTCAGGGTTGGTTATCGATGGGCATCGTCTCCCTGTGTGCAGTGTCCTCCACGTAGGCAGGGATGTTTGCCTGGTTTCCTTCTGTTTCTGGGTGAAGCTTAAATGTGGTCCAGATCCAAGAAAAGATTGGGCAGAAGTGGTATTGAGACAAGAAGTTTAATCCCTTAAAAGGGCTGGAAATCCAATCTCCTGGGGTTTGTGCAACCCTGTAGCTCTTGCTCCATGTCCGAGGAATGAGAACTCTATCTTGACAGTGTTCTGGGAAGTCCTCATGTGAAGGAATGGGGGTAGAGAGCAGAGGGTAAATTTAAACTGAGAACCAAGAGAAGTGGTGGTGATGTAACAAAGAGCTGAAAGCCAATGCTAAAGGCTCCAGAAAGGAGCTAAAGCTTGGAAAGAGAAAATACAGAAAATATCCTGCACGGTACATAGCTCATCATCCTTACAAAGGCAAATGCTTCAAAGATATCAACACCAAGTCTGAAAATTTATTGCTTGCTTTCAAAGACAAAAGTCAATAAGCAGATGTTTCCATAATACCTAATCTTATAACTTCATTTGGAGGAAGCAATTTGCCACATAGTCTGCTTGCTCAAAAACAGATGATTTGTCTGTAGAGCGTGGCTATCAGAAAACTAGCAAAGAAACTTTCTGAATCACTACAAAAAGCTCAAGATAAGAGCATCTCTCTAAGGTTAAAACTTAAGTTTGCCATGTTTTGACAGGCTGTAACTTTATAAGCAGTAATACTGTGCATTAATTACATCAGTAGTGATGAAAGGCCTCATCACTCCTCTTCTGAAGCTAACACGAGTGTTTCCATTGACTGCACTTTGTGCTTTTTGGAAAAGCCACGATCTAAACTTTTCCTATGCAACACTACCCATGTGAGGAAGAAATTGAGAAGACGACGCTTTCAGAGTAGTTAGACCATATTCATTACACGAGACTGAATTAAAGTGTGTTACTGTTCAGGTGTCGAGAAGACGATGTTTAGGTAGTACAAATTAAATACCGCTGTATTTCCCCATGGAATTCCTGGTTTATTTTTGCTGAAATGTTTTAAAATTTCAGGCTTTGTAGATAGCTGATTTTGTAGGTCTCAAATAGCGTGTATGGGCCAGGATCTCTTCCACTTTGGGCAGGAACCTCATATTCAGAAATCATTTGATAAAAGAAGCAGTGATGGCTGTTCAAGGCTGTTCAAGAAGGGCTGTTCAAGACACACTATGTGCTTTGCCTCAAGACTGGCTTTTTCACATCCCTTTGGATGCAGGTTGTGAACAAAGTCACCAAACATAAGTGGAAAATCTCCCCCTATGCAAAAAGGAGCGAGACCTCTCGAGTTACCCATTTGAGCAGTTTGCTGTCTCTCTGTACATTCAGTCTGCTTTTCCCAGGTGGAATTGAGAGGAAACTGTCCTGAAAGCTTGAAATAACCTTTAGGGTAAGGCTGTAACACTCGCATGTTGGCAAACCCTCCCTGGAGGAGGCCAAGTTTCAGCCCACCTTGAGGAGGAGCCGTCCTACATCTCATCTCGCAGTAGCAATGAAATGGTGTTTCCTGTGCAAACGGACCAAATTTGGCAGGGAGCAGCACAAAGGTGCGGAGCAGACGGCGTCGCTGCGTTTCCTAGCACAAAACAGGGTTCTCGGCCCATGGCCCCTTGTGCCTGTCACCCGGACCGGGAAACCAGGCACATCCGCTGGGACCACGAGCTGCATCCCAAGAGCTGAGCGCCGAGCTGGGCCCGTTCGGAGGAGCAGCGGGGTGCTCACAGGTGGTTACATGGTTATGTGGAAGTCCTTGTCGAGCCCTCAGAAATCCTCTTTGCGAACGTCTGCTCTGGCAGCAGGCTCGGGAGAGCAGCTCCTGATTCCGCTGCTCTCTGCTCAGCCATCGGCTGTTCCACTTTTTGCGCTTTTTATCCCCCTAGGCTCTTCCTGCTCCTGGTATTTTAGCCCTATCTTGCTGTGTGTCTGCAAAAAAAAAACAAAACAAAAAGTAGACTTCTCAAGGCGTAGCTTTATTTGAACTCTTGTTTTTTTTTTTTTTTTTCCCTCCAAGGTGCAATGGCTCCGAATCTTGACTAAACCCCAGACTGGTGTGTGAGGAAGTCTAGGTGCCATGCAGGTTTTGCAGGACAGTCCCAGGACCTTTTTCTCCATTTTTCTTGTGCTAGAAGGGGCAGAGCGACCAGGGGCTGCTCTTTCTCCCTTGGGCCAAGAGCAGCTTTTTGTTTGGGTCAGAGCTCTGCCTCTTCCTCTGCGCAGCGCCTGGGAACGCTGCTGGCCGAGGCTTCCCCACGCACCGGTTCTTCACAGGCTCCTGTGAAATTTGCCGTTGGTTTTTCTCCTTGGAAGTGTGTGCTTCTGAACCCACATTTTGAGCTTTTGAGGGGGACTGGAGGGTGAGTAGGGTGCTGGGAAACTTGCAGTGAAGTTGCTGAGACATGAAATCCAGTCGGGCATGAACTGTTTGCCTGTGTTTGGATTTTCTCTGTATCTTATGACCAGTAACTCCTACATCAGTACTGAGTGTGCTTAAGAAATCCTGCCCACCACCGTTGACCTACTGCTGTTGAAGTATTTCGCTATCAGATGATAGCTACACAAACGATGTTTGGATGCTTGTCATGTCAGGGTGTGGTTTGTTTTTTTTTTTTTTTTTTTTTGCATTTTACCACTTGCCTTGTGTGCAATACGGTTCTCCTTGTTCGTATGGGAAAGAATAACCCCTAAGGATCTTTAAAAAGAAAATGTGTAAAACAGATGAGATGCAGTTCAAGTTACCTCTGTTGTTTCGCATTCTCTACCTGCCTGGGTCTGCATGTTTAACTAATCTATATTGTTATTGTCTTTTTAAAACCTAGAACGTGGTCAAAAACCATTCCTGGTAAGGTTGAATTCTTCTCCAGCGAGGGTTCGGACACCTCTATTCCCATCCCCATCGTGCCGCTTCCAGGTGTAGATGACTCTTACCCACCCCAGAAGAAGTCTTTTATGATGCTCAAATACATGCATGACCACTACTTGGACAAATATGAATGGTTTATGAGAGCCGATGACGACGTTTACATCAAAGGGGACAAACTGGAGAACTTCCTCAGGAGCCTGAACAGCAGCGAGCCCCTCTTTCTCGGGCAGACTGGCCTCGGCACCACGGAAGAGATGGGGAAGCTGGCGCTGGAACCGGGTGAGAACTTCTGCATGGGGGGCCCAGGCGTGATCATGAGCCGGGAAGTGCTGCGGAGGATGGTGCCTCACATTGGCGAGTGCCTGCGCGAGATGTACACCACGCACGAGGACGTGGAAGTGGGCAGATGCGTGCGGAGGTTTGCAGGAGTGCAGTGTGTTTGGTCCTACGAGGTAAGGACGGCCGGTGCAGAACGAGGTGCCTGTTTGGGGAGGCGGAGGAGAGGGCTGGGGAGGGGGAATGCAGGGGATTGCTGCGGTGCTGCTGTTGCCCCGGCATTAACCTCCCTTTGCAACTTCCTGGTCTTAACTTCACGGTTTCTAAGCTGCTGTTTCTCACAAGTGTCACCCAGGGACACTGGGTGACACTTCTCGGAACTGTCACCAGGCACCCGGACCTACACAAATATGGAAATGCAACAGTAAGGAGGGAAATGGGGTCTGACCTTTCACATTAGGTACGCTGGAGGCAGGAGTAGGAATCTTCATCAGTCATAGTGGAAAATGTTTATTTAGGTGGAGAGGCAGCAAGATGAAATCAAAAGGGCCACAGCTTCCTGCGCTCCTGACTGACACACCGAGTGTCCAGGCCTCTCTTGTCTCTGTTAACTAGGCACGTTGTGCTCTCGGCCTGGAAAGCAGCTGATCCGGTTGCTCCTTGCTGCCGTTGACATGTGCAGCGTGGACGGATGTTTCCCCTAGCGCTCACAGCTCCAGTCCTGCCCACGCGGCGCCTCTCACAGAGGTGTTTTTACCTCCGCAGCAGCTGCCAGCTCCACAGTGAGCTCTCCAGGCACATCCGTGGTGTCTGCCCATGCAGATGTGACTGCACATCTGGCACCTCAGGAAAACCGGAGGAGCCTCCAGCCCACTTTCGGCTTTTCTACCAGACCGTATGAAGTCTGATTTTAAAAAAAAAAGAAAAAGGGATTCTTTTATTCATATGATAGAAGAAGAGTGGTCATGGACAACAGCTAACCCTTCTGCCTCACTCTTGCTCTGGTAAAGGTTTGTGTTCATTTCCTAACAAGTTTATCAAATTCTCTGCCCACAAAAGCTGTGGCTTAGTTTGAATTTCCAGTTCAATGAGGGAAGAGCCTCTGAGGAAGGGGAAGGAGGTTTCCAGACACACTAATTTATTTGCATTTTTTGTGCATAAAGACTTTCTGGTCTAGCAGTGGCTCTCCACATTCTGTGCTTATGGATTTGGGATATGTTTCCATGTTGCTGGCGTTGTGGTTAGCCCTTCCTCAGGAAATGTCAGTGATATTTTCCCCAGTTCTTTTAGAATGTCTAGAATGATTTTTTTTTTTTTTTTTTTTTTTGCTGCTGAGTTGTACCAACTTTCAGTGGGTGTTTGAAAAATTACTGAAGGGCAACATGGTGATTCCCCTGAAGTTGGCAAACACTTACTGATTTCAATATGATCGAGTTTTACCTTGAAATAGCTAAAGACAGCACCCAACTGCAGTGGGAATGCTGAGAGAATTAGGACTTTTTCTAAAAGTCAGTGTTGTTTCCTCAGCTTCTGCTAAATTCTTCCGAGTACCGTGCGTTACCCAAAATCGCTGTGTTAAAGTGATTAAAACCACCGATGTTCAGAAGTAGCCTGCTACTGTGAGGTGTCAAGGCTGTTGCTGAGAGGGAGAAGAGTTTCAGAGGTGAAATTTAAAAACAAACAAAAAAAGCCTGTCATCTTCTCAATTTTCATCTTTTTTTCTTGCCGCCCAGACAACTAGATTAAATGTACCCAGCATTTTATTTAAGGTAAAGTGATAAAGTGATGGTGTGTGTGATAATGTGGTTGTCATAACCGCTCTGTTGGAAAACGTCGCTTTTGTCCCAGCCTTTCCCAAGCCCTCAGCAAGCGAGACTGGCCTCAGAAAACCCAACCCGGAGCAGTCGGACCTCGCGATGGCTTCTGCATCTCCCATTTGTGAAGAG